TTTGTCTGTAACAAATTTTAATATTTTTATAAACTTTATAATTTGTAGTATACCAAGCGCCTAGCGCTACCACTTGGTAACACCCCAAGAAAATGCCTGCTAGATCTGCAACTATGTAGACAAAGGCGGATTTTTGCTCGGTTACTATAAAGCATCACGTAGCAAAAAAAGTAGTTTGAATTTTAAATAATAAAATCATAGCAAAGATTTATTTACTCAAAGTTTGGCTCCATCACTTTTTTTAATAGTCGAATAAACAGTCACAATCTACTATCTTCAACTCATAACGTAAAGACAACAAAATGCTACTCCAATAAAAAGTCAAGAATTAAACGTATTGGCAACCATCTATAAGTTGGAAGTCAATCTTGCTCAAGAGACGCAATGTAAGTGAAACTTGCAATCATAACCATATGGTTACACTGGACGTTTATGAGTTATCCATCAAAATTACCCTAAATCTATACACTATTAGTATGCCAAAACAGGTATTTTAAATAGGTACTTTTTAAACAATATGTTACTTACCTTTGAGGTAATGGTCACAGTAGCCCAGTGACGTCGTCTATGGCCATTACGTCACCTGTTACTACTAGTAGAGAAGCCTTATAACCTTCTACAGTCCCTCTACGCATTTCATTAGTCTAGGTATAACCTTTCAAAATATACGAGGGGAAAGGAACTTTTGAGTAACACTGTTCATCTAATATTCCTTTACAAACAATATAAAGCTCATTTTTCTAGTCTCGCTTTAGTAAGCAGATAAAAACTCTGACAGACTAACATGAATGTTTCTCATAGAGTGTTCCTGGATTTAATGTTATGCAAAAGCAAATTTCTATTAAAAATTAATGTCTGTCTGGAAAAAATGCCTGACAAACGAAACGATAAGGTATCAGTGAGAGCAAGACGGTGAGTTTTAATCGTTGAAAAATATTTAGAAAGAATATTATTTCTACATTAATATTAAACATTTAAAAGCAAAAATAGTGCTCTTTCATATTTTATTATTTCATGAATAAAACAGATGAATATTTTATTCAACGTTTTACGAGATAAAAAAGTCATAAGGAATAATTTATAAAAAGTAAATTATAACGAATTTTAAGAGATTAAGGGTAATCTGATTAGTTATTTAAAACATGGAGATTTTCGGTAGGTACCTAACGAAAAAAAAAAAAAAAAAAATTCAAACGAATAAAAAACAAAGAGTGAATAACTGCTTCACTTTGATCCTAAAATAATCTAGATTTACGTCTCGGTAACTTAGTGTGTCGAGCGGCCTGTATTCATTTAAGGACTTCTAGTGCTTCACCAACACACGGTTTCAGATCCTAGACCAAATCATGGATTTTTTATTAATTTGTATTTTTCGCTATAGGATTTAATGGGTATCGTAATAGCAGCAATTGAACTGTTCTTTGATCCTAGTTGAAACTCTCCTTACTGTCTGACCGAAATAGATTTACATACCATAATATCATAAGGACCGCGTTATGCATAACATGCCCAAGTGTCATTTCGTCAATTTTGAGATAATATCTCTATCTAGTGGTAGTGGATCTAATCTAACTATAAAAAAATTATGGGCTCATAGAAAGCTTTATTTTAAAGGAAATAATTAAAAACGGTGATGGCCAAATTTAGGTAGAATGTTGGAGAACATCAAATGTCTTGAACCATGAGCCGCCACTGTTTAAAAAAACATGTATTTTATTATTCTGTCATCATGAAACTGCTGAACTAATGCGCTAGTTCAGTGCAATGTCATTTTGGTTCCACTGACATTTAATCCTAACCAAACTTTTAACAAAAACATCAATAAATTTGACATATACGTTTTTACTGTTTTTATTTTATTTCAAAATATTGTTTAGAGGTCATAAAAAATAGTTTAAAGGTATGCAATTGGTAACTAAACGATTGTATATTTGATACATGCTATCTACTTACTTTAGGAATATATTTATAAAAGTGAAAAAAACGATATAATTTAGGTAAACAAAACGAACAAAACGCACTCAAAAAATCTACTGTCACTTTAATTGTCAATGGAACCATAATTACATCATCACTGAGCTAGCGCATTTGTTTTTAGTAATTTTGATATTAAATATAAACTTAATCTGATGAATAGTTTCGTTTTTAGAAATCTTGAAACTGAAAGTTATATTTCTCAATTCATAAAATGGCGCTTGGTCATGTTATTAATAACTCAGTCCATAAGATTTTTGTTAGAAAATAACTTAACCTTACGAAGATTCTATCTGTTTTTATCAATTTCACATAATTTTGGAAATTTATGAAGCAGTTTTTATTTTAATATTTTTGAATACAGAAATATTTTAAATTATATATCGGAATGCATTCTTCTTTGTTTCTGTTCCACTTGTTTTTCTCATTTTTTTCTGTTCTTTTACTTTTTCCTGTTCCTATTTTTCTTCTCCACCGGCCGTAATCCATGTTACTACTTCATACATTTTTACATTGCCGTGAGTACCTTCATTTCCTTTGTATACTTGTCTGTTTTGGGACCGTACAATATCTCATATTTTATTGTTATTTCCGAAATTATTACATATTAACCAGTCCTATTGACATGGGCGTAGCCAGACTTTCATTCAGGGGGGGGGGCAGCATGAGTGCCAGCCTTGACAGCCTTTACAAAGGGACGTGGATCTAAGGTGACCAAGTTTAAAAGAAATATTAAAAAAAAATACGTGTGGCACTCGGGGACTGCCGCGGTAAAGCTATTGCATAGCATTTTTTATCAACTTATGCAATTATAATTATTTATTTATTTTATTTATGCAGTATTTTTTCCTTGATATTAATTCAAGTTACACCTTTTGAGCGTGGTAACCGATAAGAAAACAATTTTTTTTTCTTTTATTGAAAAAATGAGAAGTTAATATTGTTTAAAATATTTTTATTATCTTACAATACATGTAGGTTATTCAGAATTTTTATCATTGAAACTATAGGTTTATGATAACTGAAATAAGAAACATAAGTTTGAGACTTGATATCCTCTAAATATCTGGAAAATACCGCGTCAATGGTGGTCCCATATTTTGTTGTGGATTCTTGTGGATCATTATTCATTTTCAAATTCAATTTTTTCGAAATTGTGTGTAAAAGAGGTAGAATCAGTATGAGCAGTTAGCAGCTAGTCTACACGCATACGTCTAGTCGCACGCACACAAACACCGTACCAAAGTCTGCCGAACTGAAACGACATTTGACGATGCACGGCTTTCAACGCCGCACCGCTGTGCCGGTCGGAGTGGGGGGTGTTAGGTTTATTTTCGTTACGGAATTTCTTTTTCGATTTTTTGTTTTTTCAATTTTTTGATTTTTCGAATTTTTGATTTTTCGATTTTTCGATTTTTCGATTTTTCGATATTTCGATTTTTCGATTTTTCGATTTTTCGATTTTTCGATTTTTCGATTTTTCGATTTTTCGATTTTTCGATTTTTCGATTTTTCGATTTTTCGATTTTTCGATTTTTCGATTTTTCGATTTTTCGATTTTTCGATTTTTCGATTTTTCGATTTTTCGATTTTTCGATTTTTCGATTTTTCGATTTTTCGATTTTTCGATTTTTCGATTTTTTGATTTTTCGATTTTTCGATTTTTCGATTTTTCGATTTTTCGATTTTTCGATATTTCGATATTTCGATTTTTCGATTTTTCGATATTTCGATTTTTCGATTTTTCGATTTTTCGATTTTTGGATTTTTCGATTTTTCGATTTTTCGATTTTTCGATTTTTCGATTTTTCGATTTTTCGATTTTTCGATTTTTCGATTTTTCGATTTTTCGATTTTTCGATTTTTCGATTTTTCGATTTTTCGATTTTTCGATTTTTCGATTTTTCGATTTTTCGATTTTTCGATTTTTCGATTTTTCGATTTTTCGATTTTTCGATTTTTCGATTTTTCGATTTTTCGATTTTTCGATTTTTCGATTTTTCGATTTTTCGATTTTTCGATTTTTCGATTTTTCGATTTTTCGATTTTTCGATTTTTCGATTTTTCGATATTTCGATTTTTCGATATTTCGATTTTTCGATTTTTCGATTTTTCGATTTTTCGATTTTTCGATTTTTCGATTTTTCGATTTTTCGATTTTTCGATTTTTCGATTTTTCGATTTTTCGATTTTTCGATTTTTCGATTTTTCGATTTTTCGATTTTTCGATTTTTCGATTTTTCGATTTTTCGATTTTTCGATTTTTCGATTTTTCGATTTTTCGATTTTTCGATTTTTCGATTTTTCGATTTTTCGATTTTTCGATTTTTCGATTTTTCGATTTTTCGATTTTTCGATTTTTCGATTTTTCGATTTTTCGATTTTTCGATTTTTCGATTTTTCGATTTTTCAATTTTTCGATTTTTCGATTTTTTTAGATTTTTTGATTTTTTCGATTTTTTTCAATTTTTCGATTTTTCGAAGTTGTTAAGTTTATTTTCGTTATGGAATTTCTAGATTCGGTCGCCGCGCTCAAAGCTGTGCAATAGCTTAATAATTAATAATTAAGATTTAAAATAAACTCGGAAATAGAAACTAAACCGAAACCGGTTTTAAGAAAGTAACAAGAAATAAAAATAGAAATTTAATTTTATTAATGATTTGAAGATGTAATACAAAAAATCGAATACAAAGTCTACAATAAATTTAACCTTCTTGTCTTCTTTTCAGTCAATTTTTTTAAAGCTTTTTCTCGAAGTTTTGGTCATTCGATACTAGTTTTCTGTGGCCATTGTAAACCTCGACCAGGTTTTTACTGTCCTAAAGGTACTTAACGTCCTCTTAATGGAAGCAGTTGTGCACAAGATTGCTAAGCAAATCATTATTGCCTTCTTAATTGCTGAGTAAAGTTCGGTCTTAGCTAAAACGAACACGAAGTCGAGGTTAGTGTCTTCTTCATCCTTTAAAGTCCAGAACCGGTGCCACAATTCAAATTCTCGTGCTGTTTTTAATAATTTAAAAGCCGGCTATTGCTGCTCCAGAAAATTGCAAGATTCTGTAGTTCGAAGGCCGGTCCTTGCTTCCCGCTGAAACGCTCCCTCCTTCAAAGAATTACAGAAAGAATCTAAGTAGGGTATTAAAACAGATATTTTGAAGTACTGTTCAGGTGTTGACACTGGTGGGTTGATACGGAATGACTGTTTTGTTGTTAATCGGGGCACACGTATTTCTACATCCAATTCCATGCCAATTGCTTCCATCTCTTTCATGATAGCTTCCACTGTCTTCTCCGCTTTGTCACGATGTTCACCTACTAATTCCACGATATGTTCAATTTGCTGTGAACATTTAACCAAATATATTGCAACTGCCTGTAACGAATTACCACAGGCTCTAAGTTACAAGAGTATTTTGCAATCAGACAAAGGCAAAATATAAAAGTGCTCCTCGTTGAAGCAGCATGCAGCTGATCTCCTTGTTTACGGCTTGTTGCATTTCCTTTAATCCTATCAGTTGAAGTCCTTTTATAATGGCTACAAAATTTTCCCGAAAAAAATTGATTATGTCTTTGACTGTAGCAATCGTGTTTCGTAGGTACTTTAGGAACCTTATTTAGATCGTTAACAACAAGATTAAGTTTGTGACTTGCACAGTGAAAATACACTCCTGGAAAAAATCGCGTAGACGTTTTTGCACCCCATTGTCTTTTCTGGCCATTGTCGAGCAACTGTCATATCTTTGACCGACGCATTTGTCGAGTACTTATTGCCGTATTAATTTTTTGAAATATTATTTGTCGCGAACACACTAGAGATGGGCAATATCGTGCATTTCAAGTATCAGTGATATTTGTTCCTGTGACATTTTAAATATCTGTGATATTAAGCCGTAATTTCGTGACAAAAGTGACAGCAAATCAAATGAGCAAAATTTGTCTACTACATACAAATGAAATAAGGGTAGAAGTACTAAGTCGAAACACAACAACTATTTTAAAAGAAATTATTGAGATATTAGAAAATTTATTGAAATATAAAAAAAATACAACTATTGGAAATGACATATGAGAAGTGATTTTAAAATATTTCAACGCTTGCAGCGAATGAACAGGGGGGGCAGCTACCCCACCCTGCCCCTCCCTGGCTACGCCCATGCCTATTGAAGTCATAACATCTCGAAAAATTATATATTTTGTTGTAATTTCATATTTTAAAAATAATGTGACGTCACTAATAACTGTTATCTGCAACACAGCTAATACGTTCGTTGGGTGGATTACCTTTTTCAAATATTCTTTAATACGTTAAAAACTGAAATGCAATATTTCAAAAAAGATTTAACACCAACGTTGGAAACTACTATATTTTAAGAAAATTTATTATATGTAACTTTTTGATTTGAAATGTAGGTCTTTCTGTAATATTTTAACTGATTTCTAATATATTTTTAGTTCTTTACGAATGAACATTTATTCGGTGTATTTGAAGCTACGCTGTGTTAGGACAGTGCACGACCCTCAACGTACACGCATGACAGAATGTGGCACGTTCGTCACATCAGTTTTAGTAGAAGTGGTTTGTTCGAAAATAAATCAGTTCAACTTTTTCTGTTGTTACATGCAGGTAAAAATGGGTATCATAAATTAAATAACGTACTAGAAGCAAATATTTTAATGAAAGAAGAAGAAGAAGAAGAAGAAGAAGAAGAAGAAAAAGAAGAAGAAGAAGAAGACGAAGGATTGTTAGTTTTTTTTACTAGTAAAAACCACAATAAAGCATTATTTTTAACTATATTGTCATTGTAACTTTTCATGTGATAAAATGTGGGATGCTCCTTTGCCATATAAATGATTATTTCATCATCTTCAGAAAAATATTCGACTACATTTTAATCACTTTAAACACAAATTTCACTTAAGGTTCCATCAAGTTTATTAATAAAAAAAGAATAAAATTTGGAATATTTAGACTTAGAGCTTAAGACTATGTGGGTCTTACAAGGTACAAATTTTATAATATTATATCACAGAAGAAGAATTCGGTACCTGCTTAGTTGTAATAATAACAATACTACTACAAAATAACTAATAATAATTAAAAAAAAAGTAATTTAATATCACACAATAGTGTGATATTAAACCCTATTTAAACATGAAGATATCAACTAACAAAATTCTATTAAGTGAGTTTCTAGTTTTTTTTAAGATGTCAGTCCTTATGTTTTTTATGGTGCTAGGAAGCTCATTGCATATATTATATATTATATATTATTATATAGATGAGTGTATATTATTCAGAGATAGGTTATGAATAAAAATGCATGTCTGATATTTAGAGAGGGGCTGAATGTCTAGAATATTATTTGGACGATACAAAAGATCAGTAGGATAACAAAAAGGAAGTTAAAAAGCTTTTCTGATTGCTCCATTCTGTAGAATTTGCAAGGGTTCTAGTCTATTTTGAGTAGTTTTCCTCCAAATAATAGTTAAATATGATAGATGTGAATGAATTAGTGAATGATAAAGGTCTTCCTTAAGTCAGCTGAAAGGTAGCAGGAAACACGTCCCAATACTCCACTGCCAATATAATGTTCCTAGTTGAGCTTGGAATCTATGTATAAGCCAAAATATTTAATACATTTTGACCTAGTCAACTGCTCATTGTCTCTATTTATTTGGAATTGATTCCATTTAGGCTTTTTTGATATCAATAAAAACTTGACTTTTCAGTATTTACTGTTAATTTATAAAACTTTAACCACTCAAGAATTTGAATTAGATCTTGCTCTATAATATACTTTAGTTCGTCTGTATTTTTTCCAAAATAGATGAGACAAGCGTCGTCAGCATAAGGTTGCAAATAACCAGCTAATGGTAGCTGAGCTATGGAGTTTTTATAGATCAGGAATAACGTTGGTTCAAGAATTGACCCCTGGGGTACACCATATTGTAGATCAGCCATTTTACTTGAGGTATTTCCATTACTTACAAACTGTGTGCGACGATTGAAATAATCTCTGAAGAAAGACAATGCATTTCCTGTTATTCCATAGTCTTCCAAAATTGATAACAGTAGGGGGACACGTTCGTACAATACCGCCACTGGTCAAATATCGCGCGTAATCGCGAGTAGCTAGGGTACAATACATAGTTCCACTACGAAAAACATACTGTTCCTTGTACCAGAAATTCTTTTTTCAAGACAGGAAACAAGACTTTGATAAATACATTTTTCCAGGACTTTGGAGATAGAACTTAATAGAGATATCGGTCGGTAGTTATTAGTGGACGTTCTTGGCCCTCCTTTAAATAATGGTAAAACTTCTGCTACTTTTAGTCCATTGGAAATTGAAGCATGAGTGAAAGTTAAGTTTATTAGGCTAAATAAAATAACCTACATCTCGTTTTTGAAATGTTTGATGAAGTCCCCAGAGATACCATCAGCACCACAGGCTTTTCTCGATTTTAACTCTGAAATTACTTTTTTGATTTCTTGAGGGGTAGTTTACTCCCATTGATATAGCTGTTGACGGTTTATAACTGAAAGTTTCGCGTACATAGACTCCGGTATATTTTCTGCTAAGGCTTTACTTATTTCTGTAAAATGGGTGTTAAGAATATCTGCAATTTTCTTAGGAACTTCTATAGAGTCAGCTTCTACTTGCAGTTTATTCACTGTGTTTTGTTGCTTTGATATTTTATTATGAATTAACAAGTTTAACACCTACCATATTTTTCTTGGATTACCTAGGGCACTTGTTAGCTGATTGTAATAATATTGTATTTTTGCATTAGATATAGGTGCTTTCAAGATAGTTTGATCAGCTGAACGAGTGCGTCCAAATCAAACTCAACTTGATTTCGACGTAATCTGCTGACGTAGACTACTATCTACCTAAAGCTATGGTTTTTTAGGACAGAGCGCGATGCTCGACGTATGCGTATGACAGAATCTGTGGCGTCCAACTCAGATCAGTTTAGTAGAAGTGATTTGTTAGAATAGTAATTAGTTCAACTTGGTGTTTTGATAGATACAGGTGAAAATGAGTACCCACGAATTAAATAATCCGTGAGTAGCAATAATTTTAATGGAAGAAGAAGAAGAATTTTGTTCATATTTAAGCGGTAAAAAAATAAAACACTATTTTTGACTATACTGTCTTTGCAACGTCTCTGTTTGTCACTTGATAACATGCTTGATGCTTTTTTATCATATCAATTATTAATATTTCGTCCTTTTCAGAATAACATTTTGCCATTTTATTGCTTTAATTATAACACAAATTACCTTAACCTCATTTCAGTTGACTACTGTATGCTCAGCTGAACTAGTACGCACAAATTAAACTCAAATTGAATTCGACGTAATCAGTTGACGTACACTGCTGTCTGTCTAACTTTGCTGACTCTAACAAACCATTCGCATAGTATTAACTATGGAGGGTAGAGAAAAGGAGGACAATCTTATATGGATCTTTATATTAAAAAGTGGCCACCAAAATGTATACAATTAAGATGGCGTCGTGTAGCCAGGGGACAAAATCCAATGCTATATAGTCATATAGATTGCTCATTCATAATGAAATCAGACAGGAAGCAGTAAATTGAGACCTCCGTGCCGTTTAATTATAAGAATTATTTATTGTTTATATTATTATTTTTCAACTATTGTCGTGTATTGTCAAAATTTATCTACGATCACAGAACACTTACTCTTCTACGATCAGTCACTTTTCACGGTGTAGTTTTTATTTCTTTATGGTTGAGCAATATTTATTACTATATACATCATTAGTGTCATTGTGTGATCTGAATTATCGACTGTCGACGTCCCCTGGGCACAGAAGCGCCATCTTAATTGTATACATTTTGAGGGACACTTTTTGTATACAGAGATTGTTCTCCTTTCCTCTACCCTCCATAGTATTAACAGTGCTAAATTTCAGCGGACTTGCGCGACGATCAGCATACTTCTAGTTTTGCGTGGCGCACTCTTCTATCAATCTGTAGCTTTAATAATCCGCTTATGCTTCGGAATTGTCTGTTTTCTCGTTTTAGTAAAACTGGTTAAAACGACAAAACCTACCATTAAGAAGCAGGAAAGAATGATTAAAACATATTTCCTAATTATAATTCTTGAACTTCATCGTTCGTCGATAGCCTTTTCAGAAACCATTAAAGATATTTTAACCTTATAACCTTATAATTAAATTAAACATGACAAGAAGTGTCTACATACATCTACTTCATGGAACAGAACGAAAGAACTCCATTTACACAAGATTATAAATCGCTAAAACCGTAGACTAAATCAATTATTTTACTTCGAGGAAGCATGTGGTCGTAAACTATTTTGATATAAACTAGTTGTTA